TGTAAGTGCTCATGTTTGCAGAATTGTGTGGGGTGTTTGTGCAGGTGTGCACATGTACAAATGCAGGTGTGAGTGCAGGTGTGGGACTGTGTGGGTGTGTGGGTTGTGTGAGTTGTGTGCATGTCTGTGGGTATGTGGGTGTGAGTGCAGGTGTTTACATGCATGAGTGTGGGTGTGTGCAGGTGTGTACAAGTACGAGTGCGGGTGTGTGCAGTAGTGGGTGTGGGTGTATGAAGCAGTGAGTATGCGTGTGTGCAGGTATGTATACAGGTGTGCAGTAGTGAGTGTGGGAGTGAGTGTGGGGGTGTGCGGGAGTGCTCCTGCTGGGTGGCAGGCCCCTGGTTCTGTGAGGAGGAGGAGGAGGAAAGATTGGCTTGCAGGAGGCTGACAGTGCGGTGCGTCTGGTGGCTCCCTGGCACCCCGGGCATGTCCCCCCCCCCCCCAGGCGGCTTCTGCGTGGCTGGCTGTGGCCAGGCATCATGCCCGGTCTCGGAGAGGACCCAAGCCCCAGGGCTGCAGATCTGTTCAGGGGGTGCCTCTGGAAGCCTGCGGGGGCAGGACTCAGGCCACGTGGCGGGAGGCCTTACGGGATGTGGGTGCACCTCAGGGTAAGGGTGGCCCTGAGGCAGCAGGAAGGCCGGGCAGGGCCACAGGCCAAAGATGAGTGAGCCCCGAGGGCCAGCAGGCCTGTGCTTTGGTGTGCTCATGTTGGAATAGGTTTTTTTTTTTTTAAAGCAGTGAAGTTGTAAAAATAGCCAAATGGGACTTTAAAGAACTAATAAAAGTTCTGCCAGACTTGAAGCACTTAACCTTGCATGTGTCTGGGGCCAGACGATAGTGCATAGACAGGGCGCTTGCCTTGCACACGGCCGGCCCAGGTTCAAGTCCTGGCATCCCATATGGTCCCCTGCAGAGCCAGGAGTCAACCTGGCACCCCGTAGGGTCCCCTGAACACATTCAGGAGTAAGCCCTGAGCACTGCTGGTGTGACCTCCCCCTGCCAACCCTTGGAGGGCAGTGGCCCTGTGTTGGAGCGAATCCCTCACTCTGAGAGGCCCCAGGCTTGATTCCTGACCCCCAAAAATTAAATGATAGCTCCTCCAGAGGGCACTGTGTAAGCACAGACAGCCCGGCAGCGGTGATGCCTCGGCTGTCTGGGTCCTGGCGAGTTCACCTAGTTTCCGAAAAGCTCATTTCCTTCCCTTTAGGAGAACTTGGGGGAGGGGGGAGCACACCCAGTGGCGCTCAGGGCTTACTCCCGACTCTGCCCTTGGGCTCCTCCTGGTGGTGTTCGTGGGACCATGTGGGGTGCCGGGACTGAACCCGGGTTGGCCACGTGCAGAGTCAGTGCCGTCCCTGCTGCACTATTGCTCAGGCCCCGTTAGAATTTAGACAGGAGATGGGTTTGGGGTCTCCCGAGTGGTACTCAGGGAGACCCAGATAGGGTGCCCTTCTTACTTGGGCCCTGGGGGCGAGGATTGCCCGGGCCATCCTGGCAGCACTGGGTGGTGCTGGAGGACCCCCCCAAGGCAGCCCCTAGCAGAGCTTGGGTCTCCGGCTGTGCCCGGGCTTCGTGGACGTGTGTGTTCCCCGCTGTTGCTGGCTGGCCCCGGGTCTGTCAGTGCTGTTAGCCCCTGCTGGGTGTCTGGCTCTGCTCAGGAGCGGCCCCTGGCGCAGACGCCTCCCCATGGCCCGCTTTCCTGCCATCCGAGAGTTGCTGCCGTGTCTGATTACTTGATTCTCAGCCTCTGCTTTTGCACGTGACCTTCGAAATAAGAAAGACAGGAATCCCGCCTCCTTTTCCGGACCAGGGGAGGCACCGTGCCATGGCATCTGCACAGCCTCTGGCAGCTTGGATGCCCTCCGCGTGGGGTCCCCAGGCTGGCCCTGCCTGAGTGCGCTGTCAAAGCCGCCGGCGGCCCTCCTAGCCGAGCTCTCGGTGGCAGTGGGGTGAATGCAGGCTTCTGAGCTCCCCACCAGTCTAGACCGTGACTTCCAGAAAGTTCCAGACATGCCATGGTAGCAAAGAGAGACTTATTTAAGGCAGATGGGAAGATGAGCCAAGTTGTGGAACAGAGGGCGGGTGACTCAGGCAGGCAGGTCGCTCAGAACGCTTCTCACCGACCAGACCACTCTAGGCCCCGGGCACAGCGGTCCCGTACTGGGGGCTCACATGGTGATGAAGCACGCGGCCACTTCCCGTGTGACACTGGCCCTTTCGGGTGTTTGTCCACACTGTCCTTGCCCAGGGGCCTGTGCTTCTGTCTGGGCAGGGTTGCAGATGGCAAAGACAGAATCTGGGGGCTCCCAGCTCTCTGGGACAGCACCTCAGGGTCCAGGCAGTGCCCAGGGGTTCCAGATAGCCCCATACAATGCTTGAGGGGGTCTGAATAGCAGCTGAGGGGATCCGGATAGTTTAGGGGGTCCAAATTGTGGTTAGGAGGTCCCGAGCAACATTACAGCAGTAGGTTGGATGCTTGCCTTGCCTGTGGCCGATCTCAGTTTGATATGGCACCATACTTAGACCAAGAGCAAGCCGGGAGCCAGGCCCAGAGCAGAGCCGGAGTCAGGCCTGAGCACCTCCAGGTGTGGCCCAAATCAAAACAGAAATGAAGCGAGCAGCTGCCTGCTGGGCCGGCTTGAGAACTCGCGTGTCTGGCTGGAGGCGGGGGGATGGCACCGCTGAGCCCGGGGCGGGGGCTGCAGCCTTACTCTCAGGACCCCTTTCCCGCCTCTAAAAATTAGGTGGGGCCCTGGCCAGCTTTTGTTGATGCAGGTTTAGCTACATATTGACATACTTGAAATGATCGAAGTGCAGGAGTGCCGTGAACTGGGGCGTGTCAGCAGGACGCCCTTATTCTCCTGGGAAATCAGTGGCTGCTTATTTTCTTCCCCACTCTCTTCTTCTTCTGCGGGGGCTGGAGCGATAGCACAGCGGGTAGGGCGTCTGCCTTGCACGCAGCCAACATGGCCGACCCGAGTTCGATTCCTCCGCCCCTCTCGGAGAGCCCGGCAAGCTACCGAGAGTATTCGATATGCCAGACACAGTAACAACAAAGTCTCCAATGGAGACGTTACTGGGCCCGCTCGAGCAAATCGATGATCAACGGGAGGGCCTTTACTTACTTACTTTACTCTTCTTCTGGTGGTGCCGCTGGAGGTCAGGGTGGTCGTTAGCACACGACTGGCCACCGTGTGTTTGTGGGTCATCAGGTGGCACACACTTGACTGTGGTGCAGTCATGGTGGTCAGGTGGCACAAGCCTGGCCCCAGTGTATGCCTGGCCCAGGCGCAGTCATGGTCGCGTGGCTCACACTTGACCATGGTGCAGTCTTGGTCGTGGGTGGCACGCACCTGACCCTGGTGCAGTTGTGGTTGGGTGGCTCACACTTGGCTATGGTGCTGGCAGTGGTCAGGTGGCGTCCATGTGGCCGTGGTGCAGTTGGGGTGGTCAGGTGGCTCACACTTGGCTGTGCCGTGGTTGTGGTTGTCGGGCGGCACAGGTGTGGCCCTGGTGCAATTGTGGTTGTCGGTGGCGCGCGCCTGGCCGCGGTGCGGGCACGTTGGCAGTGGTGGGCCTCACTGCGGTCACCCGCTGAAGCCTGGCTCCTCCTGCTGGACACTTGCACGTGAGCTTTTGGGGTCGCCGTGCCGCTCGCTCAGGGCACTCTCGTTCGGTGGCATTCACACGTGTCTGGCCGCAGTCTGATCAGAAACCACCCGCTGTGGTGGGGGTGGGAGACAGCAGGGCTGCCGGAATTGCACTCACGCAAAGGCACGGGGCATTCGAACTCAGGACCACATGCTTGCAGGGCCAGTGCTCAGCGAGGCCCAGGGCCTTTGTTTCTGGTGTGGCGGATCTCACTGTGTCGAGTAGGGATGTGTTGGCCGGCTGCTGTCCTTCTGCGTGGGCTGCTGGCCTGTGTGGTTTGCTGGACGGTGAGAAGGCGTAAGCCTAGGAAGGGGAGGGCAGGTGTAACAGCATTTCTGAGGGTTAGGGACGTGGCCTTTGATAGCGCGCGAGTCTCAACAAGGACATTCCTCGAAGGGATTTTGGAATGTGTGGGCTCCACAGACTGAGGACGGCGGGGCCCAGCGGGCTGCCGCGCTCTGAGTAGCTCTTTGGCCCTTGGGTGAGATCACGGCGCTGTTCACCCATGGCTTGAGAAGTCCCGGCCTCCGAGGGCAGATATGCAGAAACCACCCATCGCTCGCCAGGAGCCCTTGTGGGTCTCATGCCCGGAGCCCCCTCCCCGTGGCATCACGTAAAGGTCAAGTGGGCGGAGCTCTGGGCTGCATCCCTGGCCTGCCAGAACAAACAGAGGAAGATGCAGTGGCCCGCGTGGCGCCAGGCCCGGCACGGGCTCCCCGGTGACGCTGGTGGGACGGGTGGCGTGATCACGTCGGAAGGGCAGAGTGGCAGAGCGTAGAAAGGAGGCCTGGAGCCACAGTGGCGCGGGAGGGCACTTGCCCTGCACATGGCCAAGCTGCCCCTGTCCGCAAGCTCTGTGGGTCCCTGAGACTGGAGTAAAAACCACGCCGAAAGGGGCCACAGAAGGATCTCGAGCGCCAGAGCACTGCCTTGTGGGAGAGCCAGCTTGGGTCGGCAGGCGCAGCCCTAAAATCAGCAAGCCCGAAGGATGTCTTCAAAGAGGTTCTCTGCGGAAGCATCTGGGCTCACAACGTGTGTTTCTGTGCTAGTCTCAGTGGGGGCCACATCTGGCTTGCTCAGGCTGTGCTGTCTCTCTGGTCCCTCTTGTTTGTTAGTACTTGACCTCTAACCCTGAACAAGGGTATGCTCACTCCGTGTGTGTGTGTGTGTGTGTGTGTGTGTGTGTGTGTGTGTGTGTATGTGTCTGTCTGTCTGTGTCTCTCCCTCGGTCTCTTCCTCCCTCTGTCCCACCCCCGTATATACATAGACGTGGTAAGGTGTGGGGTGTCTGACGGCCACTCGGGGCTGGCATTGGGGAGAAATCAGTAACCTTGGCCTCTGCTTTTCAGATGTCCCTCCTGCTGATCAAGAGAAGCTTTTCATCCAGAAACTCCGGCAGTGCTGCGTCCTCTTTGACTTTGTCTCTGACCCACTCAGTGACCTCAAGTGGAAGGAAGTGAAGCGAGCCGCCCTCAGTGAGATGGTGGAGTACATCACCCACAACCGAAATGTCATCACAGAACCCATTTACCCAGAAGTCGTCCATATGGTGAGTGACGGTGCGGGCCCCATCTCAGACCGGGCCCAGATAGTCCTGAAATAAAGAGACATCGGAGCCGAACACAGCTCTTCCCGCGAAAATGTCCTGTTGCGGTTTGTGCTTGTACCTTGAAGATGGACATCTTTCCTGCCCCGTGTCCTGGGTTCCCGTGGGATAGGGTGACAGCTCCTTTCGGGTCCACGGTGTCTTCTGTGTGTTCCCTTGTTTTGGGTTGCGGGGGGCGGGGGGGGGTTAATGTTTGTTTTGGGGCCACACCAGTGTTCAGGGCTCTGCCCTCCAGAATCACTCCTGGTGGGCTCAGGGGAAGACATGGGCCGGGGGTCGAACCCAGGTTGGCTGCATACAAGGCAAACCCTACCCGCTGCCCTGTCTCTCCGCCCTTGTTTTGGGGGTTTAGCTTGTTTAGTTTTTAGGCCATACCCAGCAGTGCTCAGGACTGACTCCTGGCTCTGTGCTCAGGAATCACTCCTGGCAGGACTTGGAGGACCATATGTGATGCTGGGAATCAAACCCACGTCAGCTGTGTGTCAGGGACGCACCCCCAGCTCTTGTCATTTCTCCAGCCCCATGTGTATTGCTTCATTTCATTCATTTATTCTTCACGGCCAACCAATGGTTGGTTAGAACGTTAGAACTTGATCTGTAACTAGTTTCTTCCCCTGACATTAGGGAAACCTGCCCAGTGTTGCTCAGAGGCCCTGGCTTCTACCCTGATACTCGTTTCTTTAACATATACATAGCATTAATAGAATAGTGCACGTGTGACATTTAGACATGACCGTGTTGGAGCCGGACAGGAGCTTGCCTTGCTTGCAGCCATCCCGGGTAAATCCCTGGTGCCCCACACGGGTCCCGGAGCCTTCGCCAGGGCTGATCTCTGAGCTCAGAGCCAGGAGTGAAACCTGAGCACAGCCGGATGTGGCCCCAAAGCCAAAACAAAACAGAAAAAGAACATGTCAGCAGAACATGCGCATGTTCATACATGCCAAAACTCCTGTGACGAGACAGAGGGGAAGAGTGGTGGAACCGAGGTCACAGCAGGACATCTGCCATGCCCTGCAGGACAGCCCCTCGCGGTCGGCTGAGATGGGCTCACTCACGGTCTCTGGAATTCAGTGCTCAGGGCGGATGTGTCACGGCTGATAGCCCAGTCCTCCAGCATTCCACGGTGGCCCCTGCAGTGCTGCCCACAAGTTGACTGTGACGGTTCCTGAAACTACTCCTAACTGACACTGAACACCTTTTTGTTGTCTTTAATTCTTTTATTTGAGGTTTTTTTTTTTGGCCGGGGGTTGGGGGGTCACACCCAGCGATACACAGGGGTTACTCCTGGCGGTGCTCAGGGGACCATATGGGATGCTGGGAATTGAACCCAGGTTGGCCGCGTGCAAGGCAAACGCCCTGCCTGCTGTGCTATCTCTCTAGCCTCTATTGAAGAGATTCTTGAATCCACTTTTGAAGTGACTCCTTGCTGCTCTGGGAGTGTCAGGTGCTGCCTTGCGGTGAACTCCTGCGTGCCGCCTCTACGGCATGGCGTTCTGAGGTTCAGAATGTCTGGGCCACACCAGAGCATATGTGTCCTTAACGGGTTCACTTTGGGTTGTTTCTGGGTTTTGGGATTTTTTTTGTTTTTGTGTTTTTGTTTGGGGCCACACCCAGCAATGCTCAGGGGTTACTCCTGGCTCTGTACTAAGGAATCGCTCCAGACAATGCTCAGGTGACCTTATGGGATGCCGGGGATGGAACCCGGGTCAGCCACGTGCAAGGTGACCATCATACCCGCTGCCCTATCGCCCCGGCCCCGCAGTGGGTTCACTTTGGAAAAAGAAGAAGGGAAAATGCTTTTCTGTTTCTCAGTTCATCGGGGCCAGAGCAGAAACGCTCTGGATTATCTTAGCTCTTCTTAACCCCTCGAGCTTGGGACTCAGTGGGTATTGTCACTCAGGGTCACAGGGCCAGTCATCTCTGCTCCGAGCACCAAGCCAGTTGGTACTCTTGTGGGCACGGCACGGAACCAGGAGCACCTATTCTCCCCTACTAAAGTCCAGCTTCCAGGTATTCGTGGGGCCTCCCAAACCCCAAAGTCACAAAGAAAATTCTCTTAATAGCCCCTGAATTTTCCATAATTTTGCTGTTCACAGACATTGTATAATCCTTTTGAAACCCTAAAATGTATGGACACAATGTATTGTATATTCAAAACTCTGTAAGAAGGCCAGGGGTGTGACTCCAGCATAGAACATTTTATCTTGAGATCCATGGCCCTGTCTTGTCGGCCCCCCCCCCCACGCCCCCCCTCAACCACTGCAGTGTGAGCATGACCCAGGCCCTGAAGACCACAGGGAGTGTCCCTTCTGCTCAGAAATGAAGCAGCGCCCAGGTTGTACCCCCGGCCCAAGAGGGAAGGCCTGTGGTCCGGTCTGGGTGCCCAGTTGGGGCGCAGGGGCCCACTTGGACAGCCATGGGCCTGGCTGCTGGTCTGCATTGCTGGTGTCCCAGAGCCCCTTTGGGAGACCGAGGTTCATGGAACTTGGTTGGATTGATCTTCCACAATCTGTCACTGCCATCTTCAAACTGTCTCAGCTTCTTCCTGCCTGAAACCCAGCAGTCTTAAGGGTGGTGGGTGGTGGCGCCCGCTGAGGCATTTTCCAGGCCCTTCTGCGCACCCACCCTGCCCCACGCTGGTGGATTGGGGGGGGGGGGGGGGCGGGGAGTATGAGGAGGTGGAGTCGTGTACAGTCTGTGCCCCCAGAGCTTTCCTATTTGCAGCGAGGTGAGAAGTGTGCCCCCCAGTGACCGTGTTGCCCATTGGGGCGGGGCCGACCACGAGGTGACCAGAGCAGACAGGGTACTGCCAAGGGCACCCCAGCTCTGCTGCCGTCTGCAGTGTGGGATTCTATGGGAGACACTGATGACAGGTGTGCAGGGGTGTGCCGTGGCCGTGCTTCTGCCCCTCTGGAAGCGCAGCACGTGCAGACCAGGCCCCCAGCAGCTGAGCACAGGATAGGACCAACAGGGTCCTTCTAAGAGGCTGAGAGCAGATTCACATTCTGCTGTTGATCCTTGACACTGCGGGGCCATGTACAAGTGGGAGTGAGCCCAGCACAGAGCCGGGAGCGGCCCCTGAGCATTGCCAGGCGAGTCCCCAGCACTAAAATCACGAGAATGGGAGAATGCCCTCAGTCAACACCTTGCCAGCGCTGCTGTCTGTCCCTACTCACACTTTGCTCACTGAGGAACACCTTTGCCCTGTGAGTCCTTGCGGTGCGGGGAGAGGCCTTCGTGTGTGTGGCTGACCCTCTCAGCCCTGTCAGCGTTTACTGATGCCGAGAACGACCCGACCGTGGGTGCGTGCCACGTGCCTCTCCTCCTGCCGTGGGGTTTTACTGGCCCCGGCCACCCTCAGGAGCATTGCTGTGGGCCTCCTTGTGTGGCCGGGTGTGCGGGGTCATGAGCCAGCTCTGCTCAGGGTCGGGGGGGGGGGGGGGCAGGTATCACCTGCTCAGCGCCACTCCCTCCCCTGCCAGCACTGGCCCTAGCAAGGATGGTGGCCCTGGTGGCCATGATGGATGTGGCCTATGGAGATTGTGCCGGTGGGCGTGGCCTGCCTGGATCGGTTCTGTAGGTGTCGCCTGATCAGGTGTGTTGTGGGCGTGGCGTGTGAGTATGTCGGTGGGCATGGTCCGTGGTGTCGATGGGCGTGGCCTGTGTGGGTGTCCCAGTGGGTGTGGTTTCTCGGTTTTGTCGCCCCTTGGACGTGGCTGTATGATTTCTGTTTCTGTGACTGCAAATGCAGTTTCTCCAGACGTAGGGTTTATCCTAAAACTTAGCAGAACCTCACTGAGGACCCAGCTAAACCCACTCCTCCTCCAGAGGCCTTGGGTCAGAGACAGGATATGAGAGAGCGTTCCCTGAGGCGAGGACTCCCAGCAGCAGGTCCTCAGGCAGGCCCGGGTTTCATAAGCTCCATTATCACATCATTTCAGTCCGTTTTTAAAATAGAAGCAGCCATCTGGGGATTCTGCACATTAGGGTTTTTTTCCCCATCTCCCAGGGTGGTGCCCGGGAGGCCGGGGCCTCTCCCACAGTGCAGGCTGGGGGTACCTAGGCCAGGGCCCCGAGGTGCCCCTGCTATGCCGGGACCACCTGGGCCACCTGGGTGGTTCTGGAGGCTCCAGGGCTACCCCCAGCAGCGTCCCGGCCATGTGGTGCTGGGGATCAGACAGGGGTCAGCTGCATGCCTGGCAGGCGCCATCCACCCCGCACTCTCTCTCCAGCCGCTGCATCTGGTTTTTCGGTTTGTTTGCTTTTTTAATTAGGTTTCTGAGTTGATCTGTTTTTCAGGCACTGGCATTTTTCCTATAATCAAAATCCTGCTAGCGAAAGCAAGTAGCAGTGCAGCCCCGGTTTGCGTCAAGCATCATTTTACCTAATACTATAGGCAGATGACTGACTTTGTAGCTTGAGTATTTAGCAAACATTTTCTCAAAAGGTGAACAAAATGGGAATCACTCTGATGAAGGTAACTGCCTCTAAGGAATCACTCTAAGGAAGGTGATTGCCATCAGTGACAAAGGTTGAATTTTCGGACAGCATTTGGGAGTCTCCGAAAACTCAACCAGCAGAGCATTGGTTGGTTGTCCTCAGGTGGGTGCAAAGGGGAATGAGCAACTGTTGTTTCACTTGGGGGGGCCACGCTTGGCAGTGCTCAGGGATCGCCCCACTATTGCTGGGGGGACCTTGCGGTGCCAGGAAAAACCCATGTTCCCTGCTTCAAAGCCCGAGCTCAGTCCTCTCAGCTCTGTCCCCTGCATCAAAGCCTGAGCTCAGTCTCCTACTCTGTCCCCAGCCTACAAGCAGCATCTTCAGTGCACGGTGGCATGCATCCTCATGAATGATCTCTGTGAGTCGGTGACCACTGCTTTTCCAGATGACCACTAAATGACCTCACACAGATGTCTTTGAACCAGAGAGCCCTTCCCACATCC